TGCAGGCAATGCATGCATACACATAAGATAAAAATAAATAAAATATTTTTAAAAAGCCAGGCATGGTGCCCCACACTTTTAATCTCAGCACTTGGGAGGCAAGAGGCAGGCAGATCTTTGTGAATTTGAGGCCCTCCTGGTCTACATAGAAAGTCCAGGCCAGCTGGGGCTACAGGGAGACCCTGTCTCGAAAAAAAAATAAAATGGTTATGAACTGCCATGTGGGTGCTGGGAACAGAACCTGGGTCCTCTGCAAGAGCAGCCAGTGCTCTCAACCCTGGAGCCATCTCTCTAGCCCCTTCTTTCATTTCTTAAAAATACTTAGGTCAGCCAGCCATGGTGGCACATGCCTTTAGTTTCAGCACTCAGGAAGTTGAGTCAGGCAGATCTCTGTGAGTTCAAGGCAGCCTGGTCTCAGAACAAAACAAAACAAAAACCAAAAAAACTTCAGTCTAAGAAATATACATGACTGTTCTACTGTTTCTTCTAGTATTTACATGTCCCAATAAGACCCACTTTGGTTGATATTACTAACCAGTTCCTCCCTGCTCACCAGAACTAAGCCAAAAATAAGTTTTGTTTTTAATTGTCTTACTTTCTTTTTTAGGTCTTTTTGAGACAGGGTCTCCCTATAGCCCCTACTGGCTGGAACTCACAGAGGTCTGCCTGCCTCTGTCTCCCGAGTGCTGGGAGTAAAGGTGTACACCACCACACCCACTCATTAATTGTCTTATTTTCTGTATCACCGGTTCCAGAAACATGGTTTTCTCTGAAAAATCTGTTGATGCAATTACTGTTCAGACTAATACTTTTTTTCCTTTCATTTTCCCTTACTCTGTGTATTTCTTTCTTCTTTTTTGTTTTATTTTCTTTTTCTTTGGGTTTACAGGGAGTTGCTTTTGTTTTGTCTTGGAGACAGGGTCTTATTCTGCAGTCTAGGCTGGCCTGGAACTCCTTGGTCCTCCTGCCTCAGCCACTACCACCCCAAGTGCTGGGGTTACAGGTGTGAACCACCACAGTTAGCTAGAGCATGGTTTTTTTAACCACTCTTGAGTCTGACTGTTTGATCCCCTCTACACCTAAAGGAAGGTGTTAGGCAATCCTAGTTTTCTCAGAACCAACCAGGCAACGAACTGAAATTGCAACATTTCCTTCCACGTACAGCATAAGGCCTTCAGCTTTCAAACTGTCACACGTGTACCCACACTCGGTCTTTTGAATTCTCTTTTTAACATTATCCCTTAATCTCTTGTCTATAAATAATAGTCTAATAGCCATTTGTAAATATTTACACACACAAACTCACATCCACATTTTATTTTCATAAAAGAAAAAAGACAGGCCAAAAGAGGGTAGAGGGCAAGGAAATGGAGATTAAAAGGAAATGGAATTTGCTTGAGGGGACAGTGCCACTGTTCCACACATACCAGGGTGGACAATGGGGACTTCTCGCCATGAAAATGGATGGACCCACTACTCACCCTTAGTAATGCTGCACATTTTTGTATTAACTACTCAGGGTAGGAAGTTCAGTCTATAATGACTTTCCTTCTGTATAGAAAAGTGATCCTGCTGGGCATAGCAGTGCATACCTTTCATCCCAGCACTGGGCAGGCAGAGGCAGGTAGATCTTTGTGAGTTCAAGGTCAGCCTCGTCCAAGTATGGAGTTCAGGCCAGCCAGGGCTACACAGTGAGACCCTGTCTCAATAAAGACAAAGCAAAATGATCCTTTTGAAGTGTTACCAACTCTGGCATTGCCACTACTCAGTCATTGAAATAAGCAATCCACAGGTTGGAATAAAGCCAATGGAGAAAAAAAAAAAAAAACAACAGGAAAGTGAACAGACACATACATTAGACTTCCTCCATTCCCAGCTTTTGTTTCTAGAAGAGCTGTTTGAGGACTGGTTCCTGTCACTGAAAAATCCTGAACATTTTCCTTGAACATGAGCACTCAAAAAGAAGGATTACAAGACCAGGCCATCGTCAAAATAGCAGCTCACTTACCAGACCTCATTGTCTATGGAGACTTCTCTCCAGAACGACCCTTGGTGAAAGGTTTCTATGGAGTCCTGATGTTTGTTGATATTTCAGGCAAGTGCAAAGGGGGTGTTTGCTTAATATGGGTGAGCAGCAGGCTCCCATCGGAACTCACATTCAGAGCGTGACTGTAGTGGGTACGCCATTTTCAAACTCCTAGGCTATTACAAGAGATGATCTCACTGAGCACTCAGGACGGAGGGAAGAACCTTTGGTCTCAGCTCTCTCTCATCTTCCCTTCCCCCAGCTTTCAGTCATGAGTGTGTCTTTAAGATGCTTAAGTCCCAGCTAGGACTCCAGGCTTTAGTGTCCCTGCCCAACCTGCCCACCTCTTCATCCCTATGCTGGATAGCTTTAGTGTCAACTTGACATACCTGGGTTGAGGGAGCCTCAATTGGGGAATTTCCTCTATTGGACTGGCCTGTGGCCATA